TGTGGGCTGTTTTTATTATTTATCATCTAGGGCAATGTATGTTTTAATGGCTATAATTTGGTACTCTCATATTTATATATCTATTGCTTAAACCTTTGTCAAGTACGTACATACACATACATGCATGCATACATACATACAAGAGAGAAGAAAAAAAAGAAAAAAAAAAAAACTAAAGGCAGTCTGTTTTTTTCTTTTTGGTAAGCAGGTTTTCAAATGAGATGCCAAATTCTCAGAGTTAAGGTTGTTGGATAAATATTCCTGTTGTGCACCAATGACAAATATGTTTGGTGATAAAACTGAATGCAAGCAATATTATAAAGTTTTTCAGCAGTATATGGAGGAACTTGGATTTCAGCTTCCATTTTCCCATCTAAATGTATTTTGTACACATGAGAGAATAATAATTAAAAAGCCAACAAGACATCAATTAGTTACTTTTTTTTTCTTTAATGTACATATTTTTTTTTTTTTTTTTTTTTAGGAAAAAAAAAAAAAAAATTGAGGTAAATAATAATAAGAAAAATCAATTAAAATAAGTATGCCATTATCTCGATTTTATGATTGAATCCTTTGTTGAATTGACAATTGCCCAGCAAAACCAAGGTTTGCTTATGATTTTAGGTACAGGACCATTTATCTGGCAAGGTTGGGGGCTGAGGTAACCCAGATTTCCCAACCAATATTTAATATGTATTATTTGAAATCTAAAATAAATAATGAAACGTAATTCACAAAATTTATTTGATAGATAAAAATTAATAAACTGATAAAGTCACTCATATTTTATGTCTTGAAATTTAAGATGAAAAATAAATGAAGTAAAGAATGAAATCTTTTTTTCACAAGCAGAACTTAATCCACTTTTGAAACATGTTTTGACTAAATACCAAGATGATTTAAATTGGTTTTTTTAAACTAATGAAAACTAAATTTTCAGTTTAAATACAAGATTACAATACATTTAACAAAAATTTTGCTGAATAACTTGTATTACAATTAAAAATGTTCAAATTCTAACCCTCAGATTAATATAAGGAAAAAAAAAATAAAAAAAAATATCAATTTGTTTAAATTCTTAATTTTAGCTTTTAAAAAAAATATAAACATGTTCTTGGTTTGGATTGATATTTGAGATGTCAGAAAAATGATATTTAAAATATTTGCTATATATATATATATATATAAAGTCAAATAAATCAATACTGAAAAGTTTAATTTCATTAATTCGAAAAATTTTTCAAATTTAAGTGTATATTTGGCATTGAAAATCCCCCCCTTTAACACTAATGTAAAATTTAAAAAATAACTTAGTCTTTAATGGAAGAATTTTTTTAATAAAAGAATTCTCACACAACTCTTATAAATTTTATGAAAATTAAGCCATTGTGATTTACTTAAAAGAAAAAAAAAAAAAAAAAAAAAAAAAAAAATCAAGGTTTGTCAATTTTCTAAAAACTCTAGTCATTTCTACAAAGCAACCAAGTAACAAATTACTACAAAGCTTGCTACATTGAAAAATAACCAATTTCTAAAATTTCTATCGAAGTTAATTGTTAATTACAGTTTTCTGAAATCTAGATAAATGGTCTGGTACCTGTATTACGCAAAGTCAAAGGTTAAGATAACGTATTCATCAGTATCAAGGATTGGGGAGGGGGGGTAGATTCAAACCAAGGCAGTGTCCACAGAAGGACAATATCCAGAAACTGAGAAATGATTTTATCAGCATTGATAGCTGACTAATTATTGTTATTCCTGTTTGAGTGAAAGTGAAATCACCAAAAGAGTTGTTATAAAAAATAATTGCCAATAACAAACTTCAATAAATTCACAATTGTCAAGGTTAATCAAGAGGTAATTTCAATAGCAATTACTAAAATAACAAATTTTGTCAGGGAGGGTAAGTAACATGATGGGAACTATGGAAGAAATTCAGTTTCTATTTTGTTATCATTTACAGAAATAATAACAGAATAATTATTAAAAAAAAAAAAAAAAAAAATTATTTCAATAGATTTTAAGTTACATGTATATTTGTATGTCTGCCTTTTTTGCTTACAGACAAGTGTAAACAGTTTTTCTTTTTCGGCAATAATAGATTTATGCTGTTGATTATTCAAATATCCCAACATTTTAAAATCTTTTTACATGGATAGCAAGAGACAGGGGCTTGGAGAGTAGGAGGGGGGGGGGAGAAGGTATCCACACTATACACGTGTATGCATATTTCTCCACAATCACAAGAATTATTTTTTTTTATGTGCTTGTTTCAACTTAATTTTCTTTCTCGCCAAAACATTTGCAAAATCAATTCTTGGTATCTTTATTATGGACTGATTGGGAGGGGAAAAAAAAAAAAAAAAGGTAGAAAAGAAAAAATATTAAGGGATGTTTAGAAACATACTGATGACTTAAAAGCAAATGATTTACTTCAAGGGGAACCAGTCTACCTTTGTAATGATTTGAAAAATTTTTCCAGATATACAAAAACTGTTTGTATTTGAATTTGTATACCAACAAAAATATGAACATTTTTTTTTTTTTAATTATTTAAGATCATTATGATTTTTTTTATATACTTTATCTCTTTAAAAATTTTTTAAAATGGCATTTTTTTTCTCTTGTTAAATGAATCTTTAAATTTGCTAATAGATTTTTTTTTTCTTTTCATTATTTTGTGTTGGGGACAGGAGGCTAAAAAGGCAAATATACTTTAGGGAAAAATGCAAGAAAAATTATTCATAAGAAAATGCTTGATACTTTTGTTATGGGACTTTGCTGTATTGAGTAGTAAATATTTCATCCCACATGGATTTTACAAGTGCAAGACTGACTCCATGGCCACACTCTTCGTTATCAGTAAACCAAAGACATTAGCTTTGAAGAGATTACTATTATACCAGGGTTTATTCAGGTCATTATAGTTGCTGTAACCTCCAGTGTTTTTGTCAGGTGTGTTACATTCAGTAACCATTTGACAATCTTTAATAGAACTGTTCAATTCAATTGGCAAATAGAGGGTGGGAGTGGGTTCTCATTCTTTACCCATTACATCCAGTGTCATTCCTAGAAAACTTCAGAACAAGTCAATTTTAGCATAAGGAATGAAGACAACATGTCAAATAAAAGCTTCTATTTGAAATGCAACTGACACCTGAGAAGTTTAGCAGTTGAAATGTGATAAAAATGAGGGAACTGTCTAAAGGAATCATTGTAGCAATCTTAGCTGATAAAGTGAAACATTATCTTTTAACATGCATGTACAGTAATTTACAGATGAGTTATACATTATAGGAAGCAATATTCTGACTTAAAAACTAATTATATTGCACTGTTTAGTTGATAACATGTTTTTATAAGTCTTGATATCTTGAAGAAAAAAACAAACAAAAATAACATGTGGAATGAAATAAATGAAGTGTTCAACAACAAAATTTTTTTTTTTTTTTTTTTTTAAAATTCCATAATTAGAAATGGATTAAGTCTTAAGAATTAACAGCACAGGAGATAATCATAGAAAGGTGAAGCAATTATTTAAAGCCTTTAAACTCAAATTCCTGTTAAGTTCATTATTTTCATTTATGCATAAATACCCTTGGGAAAGGTATGAATCCACCTCTTATCCCATCAGGGTTGAATAGCAGGACAGAGAGACTGGGTCCTATGGCCTTGATTGGCAACCAGTCTACTGCAGAAAGCAATAGCAATCTTCTGCCCAGTCAGTCATGAATTGAAAGTGACATGATTGCTCAAGCATGTTTCCCCTTATAGCACTTAACTGAGTGAAGCTCTTTAAAAAAATAATTGAAATAAAAGAAAAAAAAAATATATATTTACTAGAATAACTTTCTTTTATGATTTGATGACATGCTTAAAAAATGATCCTATCTTTCATCTCATGGAAAGTGTACATATTGCCATAACTTTCTTAGTTTCAAACTATTTTTGAAGATTTACTTTCTATTGTCTAATTGAGATGTGGGCTTTGGTGTTTATACAAATTCAGTTTTGAAACTACAAGTTCATTTAAAATATTCCCCATTTTTATTTTTCTATGTTACAAAAATGTATAACATGAAATAATTTTAAGCAAAAATAATTTCATTTAGGATATTTTTCCTAGAAGCTTTGAATTTTCCAAAGGTAAGCAGTAGGATAGTTTCATAACAATGTGATATTTTTTTTCATATCAAGATTTAAGGCCTAAATTTTTTTTTTTTTTTTTTTAACTTGGTTGAAGGTCTATAACAAAACATTATGCCATCTGAAGAAGATCAGAGGATATGTAATTGAAATTAGAAAATGAGGAAGGGATTGAAATAAATTGTCTACAAATTATTTTACTGGATTTTTCCTAGTTTTTTTTGGGTAATTTTTACTTTTATACTCTTAAAAGTGTAACTTTAGCAACAGTATTTAACAACCTCTTCAGATATTTCCTTTTTGTTTCTTCCAAAAGACAAACAGAAAAAAAAAAAAAAAAAAAAAAAAAAAAAAAAAAAAAAAAAAAGGAAGGATGGGTAAATTTTAAATCTATTCCAGTTGTTGGATGAAACAGATTTATACCAAATGCAGATGACCATGTGAAAAAATAAATGGAAACTAATTCTATAATTTTGTTGTTAAATATCAGACAAACTTTTCTTCAGTCCTAAAAAAAAAAGGTCCCCACTTATTCACATTATCAATTACCACAGGGGTGATCACTTTAGTCAAATAATATCAGATTCAGTTCTACATATATAGACCAAAGAGCTGAAACTGATGCTTTTTCTGTTGTCTTTATACAAAATTTTCCATTGCAGATTTGATTTTGTTATTGGAAAGAAATTCTGCAGTTTTTTTTTGTAATTTGTCTGTGTTTCTTTTTCAATTTCTCCAAAACTGAAGTCATGGTGGTGTTGTAAAACCAATACTGGTTGTTGTATGGCTGGATGTTTAAAGAGTGTTATGTCACAAGGGTTGCCACCCACTGTTGCTAACATTATTCACCAATATTATACTCTTTTGCGGTCTGTTAGCACTCGTACTATCGATCCCAAACCACCAACTGCAAAAACCTACAAAAAGAGGAAAGTGAAAAAATAGTGATAAGGTGATATTTTTTCCAACATTAACAGGCAAAAGAAAAAAAATTTGTTTTATTAGGATTCAAGGATAGCAACAGATTATTTTAATGGGCAGTCATGTACTTTTCAGCATGAAGTCAAATTTGTTTTTAAAGCTTGATGATAGAACATTTTATTTAAGTAAAATTCTTATGTAACATTTTCATTTGAGAATTTTGCAATTTATGCCTAGAGTATGTAGATACAAGTAAACAATGTGCACACAGAAATGAATATAGTGAGTTCATTGGTTTGAAGAATACAAAGAGACACAAAACAGTTACTATGAAGTTTTGTGTCCACACAGCTTATAATAATTAACAAGTTTGCTATACAGTAACAAATTAAGAACAATTACAGTATCATTTCACACTTAGCTCTGTATTTTAACATAATCAGTACTCTACACCCAGTTTAGATGAAGGTCTTGTGCCAGACTTCCTACACCATTTTCTTTCATTTTGATATTGTGGTGGAGCAAGTTAATCTCAGTAGATATCTACTATAGATAAACTTGCATCAACATTTAGACATGGTTTGGTGGAATCATGTGTGATTTCCAGTGTCAATATTGCAGTGCCAAATTTATAAGCCAAGAAATGTTTACTGTAGGTATTAATGATAAAAAGAAAGATTTTAATTTCAACAACGAAGTAGAAATACACTAAAATGAATAAATATACAAAGTCATTCTGTGTCAAATCAACAAGGGTCTGACCATCACAGATTTTTTTTTTTTTTTAAATTTGGTACACTTATAGGGCTATATGACAGAAATTGAATGGTACCTATTTTACCTATCTAGACAAATTCGTTGTTAAATAAAAAAAAAAAAAAAAAAGAAAAAAGAAAGATACATTTTTTGAGAGGTTAAAAGTTAAGGTCAAATTATCCTATTTGAGTGTTTGTTAAACAACAAAAAAACAAATCACCTTTTAGATCTATCCAAGTACTTTAAAATGGTATATAATTTAGCTTTGTAGGTGAAAAAAGATATTTAATCTTTGTGACTACTTTCCAAAATTCACCTTATTGGCAAGAGTCAAAAGGTCATATCTCAGGAACCCTTTGACCAAGAAATGTAAAATAAGTACCATTCAATTTCTATCGTGAAGCTCTATAAACGTACCAAATTTGAAAAATCTGTGTTAGTAATGGTCAGATTCTTGTTGATTTGACATAGTATGACTCATTAGAAAAAGGAAAATTAATGGGCCTCAAGTTTTTCTCACTAGTATAAGAAATTAATCTTTTAAATATCCAAGTTATTGTAGGCAGTGTTTAGGGGAAGCAATTAAGGCAGGATAACTTAAATGTGGTCACTACAGTAGAACTAGAACAGTGTTTCCCCAACATAGGTGCTAGTGGCCTCTTGTTGGCTCTTATGTTGAAACAGGCCACTTAGGGGGTGGTGGGGCATATTTATCCATTTTTTTTTTTTTTTTCAAAAATTATTCAATATTGGTGACAAAAGGAAATTTCTGAAAGGTATCTAAAGCTGTGGGAAGCTATCAAATTTTCTTCATTGCTTTTTCAGCTTCCTATATGGCTGAATGTGGTTTCAGCACAATTACACAGCTTCTTGCTAAATAAAGAAACTGCCTGCAAATTACAAAATGAGATCTAAAAATTAATTCTAAGCAGTATGGAACCTAGAGTAACCAAGAGTCTTAACTAGTAAGCACCAAATTCAACCTTCGCATTGAAAACATTGAGATAAGCTATCAAATGAATTTTTTTTTTTAGCATTTTAATTACTGGTATTTATAATAGAAATGAAATCAATATTAAAATTATTTTTGCACTAATACCTAAGTGTTATCTTGCTAATTCAGTATATTAGAAATTAGGAGGTGGGGAGTTGCCAAAAAAGCTTCTGCTCAAAGGGGTGCTGGTTGAAAAAAAGGTTGGGAAACACTGAACTAGAACAGATATAGAAGAGCAAGAAGAAAACATGTGACACAGGCATAACCAACATTTCTTACTTTTTCATGCCAAGTTAGTAACATGGCACTGCTACCCTCAGTTTGACATTCAAATCCATAGTAGATGTACTTCATAAGCATGTCAATCTGTTTAAAGTCAAGCAACTGAATGGCTTGGTCAATTTCACTGCTTCTGAATGAACTGAGTACTTTGACAGCTAATTGAGTGGCTTTGTCCTAAAATAAAGAAGAATATATTTTCATTAATCCTTTGAAATGACAGGTCAATAGAAGTTAGGAAAATAAGCTATAACTTTGAAACATGACAAAGAGATTACATTTCCTATGAAAAGTAGACTTCTCATTTGCACAATAGATTTACACTACATTTACTTTACTAATACAGTGCAACCTTGGTTCTTGAACATCTCAGATGTCAAACAACTCGGTTTTCGAATAGAATATTTGAGATGAAGATACCTTGGTTATCAAACAAAGTCTGTTTTCTAGCAGTGATACTGGTAAAGGAAAAAGAAAAGTTAAGAGAAAAAAAAATTGTTGATGATATTGTCTATGATGATATTGTCTCTTCCTATTCAGTTTCATATGGCAAAATCAACAATCTATACTATTCTTATAAATAAAGATATGATCATGTCTGTTCTTCTCCAGACAATAACATCACTTTCCTTCCCTTTATGCCATCAACTCTTCTACATGCAGGTATGGTAAAACTGAAGCATTCATCTATATTTTATCTGTTTAGTATTGGGTTTATTTATTTTTTCTTAGATTTAATGATTTTCATTAGTTTCATGTATAAACTTGTGCACAAAGTAATGTTAATGTTTAAATAAGTAATCATCTTGGGACCAGAAAGCAATTAATCCATTTCGCATTGATTCCTATTGGCAAAATAGTTTTGGTTTATGAACATTTCAGGTTACAAACAGGCTTCAGGAACAAATTAAATTCATAAACCGAGGTTCCACTGTATCAAATTCTGTTTATGGGACTATAGAAAATCATGGCTAGCATTTTAATTTCAAAGAGGAAAGTTAAGTCAATAAAGAAATGAAAACTCATAAAATAGTTCAGTTGCCATGATAGCTAACTAGTTTATATGATTGAATTATATTTGCATGCAAAATTTCTAGCAGTGTTCAATATTCAAATAAACAATTTGGAAATTACAAAATTGCAAATAATTGAGACACCCAACAAATATAACTTGTAAACTTCAAATACTGACATAAAAGCACATTTGCATATAAGTATATGCTGAATGCACCTAGATAAAATTTTATTTTAAAATCAAAATTGTCATCATTTTAAAATAATATATAATGGAATAGGCTGAGATGAGTATATTTTCCCCTTCAACTGACTGACAAAAAAAAAAGAAAAAAAAAAGTAGCAGACACTTTTTCAAAAAAATTTTTTTTTTTGCTTAAATAAAACCCTAACAGGTATTTACTCCAAAAAGTCAAATTTCTTTAGTTTGAATTTTCAAACTTCCTGTCCCAAATATCTTGGGGAGAAAAAAAAAAAAAAGTTGCATTCCCTTATATATTCTTTTAGAGCAATGTCTTGACTGGAAAGTTGAAATAAATGTGATTTATAATTTGTTTTTACCAATTAAAATTAAAGGGGTTAATTAAAATTAAAAATGTATATTCTAACTGAATATTTGACAAATACTGCTACATTTTACTGATAGTGATCAAGTCTTATTTTGATATTAATTTTTTTTTTTTAATCCAATTATTATGGCACATATTTCACAAACTTGCTATGTTATAAATACCATTGAAATAAACACATTTAATAGGAAGAAAGATAATGTAGCCTCAATTAAACAATAAGTCATCAACTGAAGCTTTTGCAGTAGTAATTTTTTCAGGACTGAAGTTTTTTTTCTTAAAGTAATATCAAACTGTTTTGGTATTATTGTGCATACCATTCAATGTGCAGACTGGCATATTGGTAAACAGAGTTCAAATTCTGGCCAAGATTGGGCTTATTTTGCACCAACACCCTTGGGGAAAGGGTGAATTACTCTTTCCTAGGTTAGGACAGGGATTATTCTCCATACTGGTCTCCAGATATGAAAAAATAATTGGGCAATTGAGGCCCTATAAAGTACTCCATGTAAGAGTGGAAAACCCTGACAAAAAAAACAAAACAAAGAGGCTTAGCATTTGCCTTTGTCATTTTGGTTTGCTGAGTTGCAAAGAAAAAGTATCAAGCCTAAAAAATAGACTTACAAGTTTTAAAACAACCAGCATATATACTTCGAGGTAGAGCATACCTGCCAGCTTCTCTTCAGTGAACAAAGAATTTAAAACTATATTTTTGGATAGTTAATCACTTGAGAACAGCCGAGATGGCTTGCAAGACATTTTTTTGATTTGGATGATTGAATTTAAGACAATATGTAGTTAGTGATGAAAGCAATGACTGACCTGAAGTGACTAATAAAACATCCTTTGCCAATATGACATCACATGTCTCCCATCCAAAGTGCTTAATAAAAACTATGAGGTTGTAAATATAAGTTAGTGTACCATAAAATTATATGCATTCTGTATAAGAGCTAAATTTATGCCTGAAAACAACACTTTGTTAATCAGCTTATAATTAAGTGATAAATGAAATCAGAAAAGCTTGCTTGGGAGACAAAAAAAAAAAAAAAAAAAAAGAAAAGAAAAAAGACTCACCTTCATGGTAATGTTTTTAGTAACCATTGGTGGATTGTTAAGGAGGTGTGTCAAGGCATCTGTATTTTTTCCACTGACAAAACGAGTTGAGGAAAAAGGATTTTTTTTTTTTTTTATTTCCATATAAAATAGTAAATACATTTTAAAGATTGTGCACGAGTACCTTCAAGAATAAATCAATGAAAGAAAAACAAAATATTTGATGAAAATAGCAAACACATACAAAAGTACACCAGGTAAATGAAAAAAAAAAAAAAAAAATAAGGGGATATTTTCAGAAAGAGGTTTGCACTTGTTCAACTCGAAAAACAGAAAGAGTTTATTGGCTAAAACTAATCTACGCCTCCATGCAATGGTTTAGGCACATGCAGGTTAACAATCACTATGCCCATGATGATGGCCTTCAAGTCATTGGTAATGTAGGGCTGCTTAAAAAAAAAAAAAAAAAAAGAAAGAAAGAAAAAGAAAAAAAGAAAAGAAAAGAGAATATTAAAAGTTGGTGCATGTTGCATAAACAGTTTTCCATTTATGGCCTCCTGAAAGTGTTTCCTTAAATACCATGTACACACCATGTCTGAAGAGAATGCTGAAAATTTCACAGCCAAACTCATTTGCCAAAATTTAATCAAATTGTAAAACATCAGCATTCCTTCTGGAATCATGTTTTGGTGATGACAAGAACTTTTCATTATTTAGATTGTTATCCTCATCTTCATTGTCATATTCACAGCATTTCGGCTGTTGTATGCTCCAGCGTTCTTCAGGCAATTGGAATTTCGAACCAAACCCTTTATTTTATCCACCAGAGTAGATTGTTCTAGTTCTACGTGTCATGCCTCTTCCAGATATCTCGGTTATTTCCCCATTAACTCAACTCTCCATGTTTGGTTCATCACTGCTGTGGCCTGGTATTGAACTCACAACTCTTTGGGTCTAGTCACTGGATTTAATCGTCTTAAATCTTGAGACATAGTCCAGTGGATAAAGATGTAAACCAAACTTGGAGAGTTGAGTTAAAGGAAAATAACTGAGACATCTGGAAGGGGCATAGCACGTGGAACTAGAACAACCTACCCCAGTGGACGAAATAAAGGGTTCAGTTTGAAAATCCAATAACCTAAAGAAGGCTGGAGCATACAACAGTCGAAACGTTGTGAATATGGCAGTGAAGATGAGAATAACAAGTCCAAATAATGTAAATAATCATAATACCTCATCTGAGATAAAGAACTTTTCAGCACACACTCAAATGTCAGTAAAGACATATATCACAATTTTGTTAATATCCAAGACCTTACATATCCCAAAATATGCTTAGCAAAATGGCATAAAACAATTTAATTTTGATATACTTAAAGCAGGTTATACATCATTTTTAAGAGTTGTGTGTGTGTATTACTTCAAACATTTCTTAATGGATACTCATGTTTTAAATAGACAATATTTTTTTGCTTAAAAAAAAAAAAAAAAAAAAAAAAAAAAAAAAAAATTTACATCTATCGGTCTGCACACTCCAGGAAAACTTAAACAAAATGTGTTCTCCAGCAGTGTTTGAACCTGCATCCTCCTTTGTGGGAGAAACCACCATTTGATTCAGCATGCTTTAGACAACCCAGGTTCTATTTTCCCTTTTAAGATATGCACATTCTTTTGTTCAGATTATCTTGAAAAGCCCATATCTGTTCAGTTTCATTTCCAAAATGTAAACCAAGAAATATCTAAATCTAAAGAATTAATGGATTCTTTTTTTAATCCAATTTTTTTTTTTTTTTTTTTTGTGTGTGCGTGTCCATTGTTAATTAAAACTGGATGAAAACTTTCAAATTTTAAAACTTTGAAGTTTTAACTGAAAGAAATTAGCATGAAGTTAGTAAAAAAAAAAAAAAAAAAAAAAGTGTGAAATCTAAATGTAAGCATTTTATTATTTGATATATAAATTGTGATAGTAATGCTAAGAAAAACATTACTGTTATTGAAACAAAGCATCATCTTAATTTGATAATTAAGTAGTATTGTAGTTGATAACACAGTAATTTAATAAATATTTTATCTTAAAAACTGATTTTCAATTGATTATTTTGTAAAAACAAGGAAATTAGAGAAGTATAATTATGGTAACATTACTGGATGGTTATAATGTTCCTAAAAATTAAAACCAAATTATCTAATGGACAATACTGTTGTAGACAAAGAAAACTGTATTACAATTCTGACAAGTACATTTCATGCTATTTACATGTCTAACATGCTTGTGTAAAAGAATGGCGAAACAGGATGTAGGGGAGAAAGCAAAAAAGATGAAATTTACTAAAACCTACAAAGGTTAAGAAATTGTGGAGAGCCTTGATTGCCAATATCCTAAAGGAACATGGCACACAGAAGAAATACCTTGTACAGTACTTCCTAAAATTCATTTGACTACCCATTAAATTCATTTATGGTTTTGTTGTTGACAATGAAAACCATGCTTTTCAGTGATAGACTAACTTACACTAATAATTTCAAAGCCTAGTTATTTACAGAATTGTGAAAGAATAACAGGGTTGTAAAAGAGAAATATGGTGAATAATCTTTGTAAAGTTAACTAAAAAGAAAAGCCTTTTCATTTAATGCAAGAAACTTTGTAAGACTATTTTTTGTATAATTAAAATATAAATTAATTTTTTCAAATTAAAGATATACTATGAAATCATATCAGATTTTATTATGCATTCCAATGCTTTCACAATAAAATTAGTATCAACCAATAAATGTTGGTGAAAATTACAGAACAATACTTCTAAAACTATACCATGTGAATTTCAGCTTATATTTGTTTATATGCTGTGTATGCAAACAGAAAAAAAGGTAGTTAAGAAGATTAATTAAACACATGAAAACAAAGTAAACCTGTGAGTTGGACAAAAAGTAGATGAAAACTTATTTCAACAGTAATTTTTAGTGATGAATAGAAAGCTACATTGAATGAACCTTATCGTTGGGTCCTTCATAGAAATAATTAACCAACAGGGCAAAAGTTGGTGGAGTAATGACTTGGATTAATATTGCAGACAGCAAAATCCATGCCTTCAAAGTTGATAATAGTTCCAAATCGATGCAGAACATTATCAAATTCTTAAACAAGATGTTTTTGTTTTTTTTCAAGTGCTATGTGATGACAAAATTTTAAGCTAGATTTATACTAGACAATGCTCCTTCCACATTTTGCAAGATCAACTATTGCCCACCTTGCTAAATTTTTTTTTAAAGAAAATGAATTAAGAGAATGGCCTCCAGGCTTTAGATATTAATTGAAGAGAAAACTTGGTGTGCAGTCTATCATTAAAAGAGAGATGCATGGAGGAAAAAAAAAAAAAAAAAAAAAAATCAAGGAAAGATCTATAGGATGCAATAAAAACTGTTGCAATTATAGAATATCAAGTTCATTAACATGTATTTATTTTAGCCATATGGGATATTGCATTAGGTAGTCTGTCTTTTGGATTCATAAATAAAACAATTTTTATTTTATTTACATAATAAAATCTGAAACTCCAAAAAACAAGTTAATATTTTTAATAAAGGAAAAAAAATTTGACCAAACATGATTAGTTATTAGCAATTATATTGGAAAAAAATTGACCTGCATAAGAAAATCTGACAGAAAACTAGAAATGACAAAAACTAAGAATTAATATTGAGCATAGCATTTATTAGACAAAATAAAAATATTTGCTGAAGAAATGAAAAATAGTCATCACTTAATATGTCAGCAATAAAGTGGTTAAAACAATCTCTAAATGGCTGTTTATCTCCTACTCTCATTGTGTTCATAATTTGAATTGAATGGCAGCCACTCCCTTTGCCTTCATTTATATCTTTAGGCAGACATACATATTAACACATATCTACTTACTACATTTCAGAGTTATGCATAAAGAAAAATAGATTCAAAACTAGTGCAAACTAGTAAATATACAACATTAAACATAAATTATATATAAATGTCTGTGTATACATAATAGATTATCCAGAGACATGGCTGAAAATATTCAATAGGTATTTTAATTTATAATTCCAGAACACATCCCTATTATCATTTGAATTTATTACTAAGACCTTTTAATGTGCAGCCTTACAGCTGTCTGTATACATACTGATGAACCAAAACACAATACCTAACTGTGTGTTCACAAAAAAGCTTTAGCCAATCAGGCATAGAACTCTAAAAGAATACTAAGTTTCTTCTGGGATCGGATGACAGGATATTAACAGCAGGTACTTACATTCCGTAAGTTATGTAAGTGGAAGTTCTGTATAGTAAACTTATTGGTTTAACATCTCAAATGATCAATGGGATCTGGACAGGGCAATCTTCAATTCTATATATATATATATATATATATATATATATATATATATATATATATATATATTGCCTAGGATCTGGTGCATTTAGTGGGTAAGGCAATGCAGTGAATTTTGGTTGGTTGTTTTTGTTTAGTATAATTTTTAGGGATTATTTAACTCCAAAATCTAAATATTTCATAAGCAATTTTATTTTTTTTAAATTTTTTTCAGAGATAATGGTTTTAGTGATACAAGTCTTACCCATAGCCGAGAGAGAACAAGAAGTGGATTCATACCTTTTCCCCCCCAAGTGTATTTGTGCATAAGTGAATATAACAGGAATTTCAACTTGGCTCTCTGATTAACAATTCTGAGCCATTATCCATTACAACTGGTATTCCAAAGTAGTCATTCATCTAGATACTGATCAGGCTCATTGTTGCTTAACTTTGGTGATTGTACCTGTGTTTTCAATGTTGTGTGGCCTTCAGCCCATGCAACTTGTGTAAATTAGCAGGAAGTATTGACTTGCTGAAAGATGCCACTGCCAAAACAGTAGCCATAAAGGGGTGTACTTCAGTGTAGCCGAGGTAAATTGTACATGAATGATAGGGCCCATTGTTTCATCATATTGCTTTCACTAGCTTGTTTGCCCATGGTGTATCATGACAACATTGCTTCTCTAGAACAATGATGCACGTTTCCTGCTGTCCATCTTATTCTAGAGAAAGCGAGATTTATTGA